CACCTCGTGCATCGAATTCGAACCTGCACCATCGTTCCGCTAGTCTTTCTAATACCGTCACACGACTTGCTGCCTACAACCGTCCGCGGTAAGGCACCGCGTCCTCTAACAACACGTTGGTGGGCAATGGCAACCTCTTGGGTTCTTCTCCAAGCGCCGGCAGCCAGCGAAATCCCGCCACAGCACGTTTGGCAGAGAACTGCTCGCCATTTACCTGGCGATACGTCCTATTCTTGCCGACACCACACTTTGAAAGGCCGCGCTTTCACAGGTCTTACACTGACAACCACAAGGCCCCTTGTCGTTGTCGATTAACAACGCTGTAACAACGCCGGCAAGCGACGAAAACTCACCCAACCCCCCCTCCGGAACTCGACCCAGCCACTCACCCCCGGGAACAACAAGACACCTAGACTTTTGGTCACGGGCAGTTCACTGTCTGACAACGTCATGTCTCAGGTGTCAGCCACAATCCGTCGCCGACGGAGTCCTCTCGCACGCGTCACGCCTCCACTGAAACTGAAGCGATCCTTGACCTACCCGTCGGACCTTGCCGTCTGGAGGAAGAAGTAGATAGAAACAGAATATATATATGGGGGGGGGGGGGGGGGGGGGGGGGGGGGGGGGGGGGGGGGGGGGGGGGGGGGGGGGGGGGGGGGGGGGGGGGGGGGGGGGGGGGGGGGGGGGGGGGGGGGGGGGGGGGGGGGGGGGGGGGGGGGGGGGGGGGGGGGGGGGGGGGGGGGGGGGGGGGGGGGGGGGGGGGGGGGGGGGGGGGGGGGGGGGGGGGGGGGGGGGGGGGGGGGGGGGTGGGGGGGGGGGGTGGAGGTGTACGGGTGGTAGGGAAAGGGGGGGGGGGGGGGGGGGGGGGAGGGGGGGGGGGGGGGGGAGGGGGGGGGGGGGGGGGGGGTGGGGGGGGGGTGGGGGGGTGGGGGGGGGTGGGGGGGGGGGGGGGGGGGGGGGAGTGTCCGGGTGTGTGTGGGAAATGAGAGTGCTGCCACGTACGCACGAAGTTGTTGTTCAGCAGGGTCGGACTATCATCTGGCGTTTTGCATCGACCAAGAGGTCGAAATGCCTGAGAAAGTCAATGCCGATGATGGCAAAGGGGACTGCAGCGACGGTGAATACCCAGCGGAACGTGCGCCGAAGACCTAGGTCCAGGGTAAGTGACGCTGACCATAGGTGGCTATTGGCGTGCCATTGGCGGCACTGAGGCTTGTCGACAAAGAAGCGGTAGGCTCACCTGGCATAGGGGGAATGACGCTGACTTCCGCCCTGGTATCAACTAAGAACTGGGTCTCAGAATCATAATCCTTACTGTAGATGAGACGACTTTGGCTTTGCCGAGCGTTCGTGGCCATTACAGCCCGGCGTGGCGGATCATCTATAGCGGAGTAGCTACACGGCTGTACGCACTTAAGTGCTTTAGTACCGAAACGCGAGTGGTAAAAGTAGTAACCTGAGCATCAGGTTTTGTGCGACGGTGCGATGATCCAGAGCGGTTGCAGTGCTTACGTTTTAAGGTGAGTTCTTTGATCTGGCGCTGAAGCGACGCTATCTGCAATGATAATGCGTCTATTGCCGACGGAGGGCTAGTCGCGCCTGTCGTTGTGGTTGTGCCAGCGCAAAGCTGCTTAAGTGCTTTGGTTTCAGTCTCTGGCTGGTGCCGTTCGATGACGCGGTCTGCTAGATCTGCAATTGCTGTGATGGGCAAGTCACTTGCTACTGCAAGGATAGCCTGTGTGCTTTCAGGAAGGCGTTGCATCCACAGCTCGCGGAGAATCCCTACGTCCATGTTGGACGTGCCGATGAGCTGTTGCATTTCGCGCAACAAGGCTGAGGGCATCCTATCTCCTAGCTGCAGATCACTAAATACTTGCTGCAGACGGACCTTGTCAGAAGGCGTGATTCGCTGAATAATAGCCTGTTTAAGTGTCTCGTATTTCATTACTAGAGGGGGGCAAAGTATGATGTCTCTCACCTGCGAGGATATATCTTGAGGAAGGCTAGATATTAGCTGGTTATACATGGCGAAATCAGAAGAAATCTTACGAAAATACGGATTATAACTGTAAAAACCATAATAAAGGGTCATTCTCCAAAAAGGAGGGGCCAATGCAACCGAATTGACCATGGCAGGCTGAACGGCGTTAACCGCGCATGGAGACCGCTTATCCTCTAGATTATCCATTGCAAAAAGCAGATAAAAATGTGGCAGGTGAGAAAACAATATGATCACAAGTAATGAATGACAAAATCACTGGGACGAGCTCACCAGAGTGAAAATGCGAAATGGAGGGCGGCGTGTTCCTAATATAGGGTCACCAATTGTTGGGCGGAACCTGGGATACTAGTCGGTAAGCAATGACACATAAGACGTATCAAATACGACAGTATAGAAGTCGGAGGCGACTGAACCCAACGTATACTGTGCAGGCTACAATAATAGGAAGCGAATCAGACGGAGCGAGAAACGTGCAGCGAGGAACTCACCAAAACGGTTTGTGACAACGGATGTGCAGTCAGTTAAACAAATGGACGTTTCGAAGGTTAAAACAACCATAAAATCCAATGTTACAAGATACTGAAAGAGCATGTTTTCTGTTGCACTACGAAACTGATAGCAAATGCGATGGAAAATAAAATACGGATAGCACATGGTATTCATGGAGCGTTTATATTGCTGACTACGCAAACCCCGACCGAAACACTTTCAGCAGTCGTTTGCAAGTTATTTGGTGGCTGCTTTGAGTGACATTAGCGTTCCATGCTTAAAATGGCAGTATTCTAGCAGAGGTCGGGCGCAGGTTTTGTATAAATCAATCCGAGATTGTTTCAGTGTCACGGATTTGAAAATGTAGCTTATGAGGGAACGTGTGTGTTGGGCAACACCTCCCTTGTTTCTGAACGTCCAACGAACTGGAGTAATGTACACCTAGATCCCTAACTGTGAAGCAGTTACCAAGCGGTGTGTCTTGAAGCACCAATGCTTTAAGCGGCACAAGGCATCGGTATGAGAGAACGTTAAGTTGCACCGGTGAGAATGCCAGCTGCCAAGTTTTGCGCAAAGCATCCGGAGCCCTGAGGTCGCTTTGAATCTGGGAAAGACCAGCTTGCATGTTTGATGGGCGTGGAGAACCACCATTCGCTGTTATCAGTAAACAGGTGGGACTTGCCATATTGTAGCACCCGACAGACGTCATCTATCTATAGCAGGGATAGCAGTGGGCATAGCAAGCTGCTCCGAAAAGCACTATTTGTGACTGGTTTAGGGAGTGAAATGGATTCGCCCATCTTTCCTGGTTGCATGCGTGAGGAGCGCTAGCATGCGGTCTATGTGAATAGTTGGGCTGAGACCCCGCATCAGTCAAGCTTGAGTAACCTAATTACTCTGGTTATAGAAGGTAAGTCCAAGGTACTTACGTCTAGCAAGTCGTGGGTAAGTTTCATCATAACTGTTTGCAAGCTCAGGTTGATATCAGTGAGGGAGACGCAGAATGGTCTATCGTGAAGCTAAGATAGTTCCATTGAATCAATGACTACCGGCACATCGGTGCTTCTCAGAGAGGTACTGGACGTTGTTGTACGATTGTTTCTATACCTCAGTAGCTGAGTGATGGACCTTATTGGATTGTTGGTGTTATGGCAGCGTGCACCTTAGCTAGCTTAACTATCACCTGGGAATGCTTCCAATTTTGACTTTGTTTATGCGACCGAGGGTATAGAAATCATGAGTCTTAGAGTACTGTTGCCACACTTTTGGGAGCTTCATCAACACCGCGTTTAGGTGGAATGCAAGATTTGTCCGTTGTGGCCTGCGGCTGTTTTTCAGCAAAGCGAGCACCAGCAAGCAATTGGTGTTGTTTTTGTATAGCGCGCGAGTGGCGGGGTCCACATCCTTGGACGAGAAAAATATATCCCGATTGGCTGATCGGAAAAGCATAGAAAAGCTATCCACAGTTAGTGCGTCTGAATTCCAAGACTGAACAAGTAGACTCGTTGAAACTTAAGGTGAGGTAGCAAGCGTAACTGAGGGAAGATCAACGTTGTGGACACTTCCTGGAAAGTTATCTCTTACGCTGGCGGCAGCATTCGAGATTTCAAGCGTACGACTTACGTCGAAGGTTTGATAGACCCCAGTCGGAACCTGGCCGTGTTGGATTCATTTGTTCGCATATATGGTGTCAACGAAGCCCCTGTATTTGAACGGAGCATTCTGGCTTTTCCAAGTGGTTTGCGGCAAATTCCAGTCATCACCAAATATCTTGTAATGTGGGGACATTCTGGAAACAACCGTAAAGCGGTCTATTATTTTGGTAACCTAGACATGATATGTAGGTGAGAGTTGTAACGGCAACCAATTAGGAGATCCAGTGTACCCCATTCGTCTGGATCCAGATAAAATCCGCTGGATCCCTAACTGGTGTCAGCTCAAAGTCGGACGCGCCGAAGTCATCCCGTGGGTAAATAAGGCATCCACTTCCGTGTTGTTTGGCGTCTCTATTGCGGAAGGTGGGGCACCCGCAGATATTTAAAGCGTTGTTCGGGGATCTTAAGGATTGCCACGTTTCCGTGATCAGAACAACTTTTGGGGAGAAGAGAAGAATGCATGAACCGATGTAGTCAGTTTAGTGTTAATGGAAGTTGCGTTGATAAGCAGCATACACTATGTTTGACTGCCTGCGTCCTTAGAGAGAGTGGATTCGATGTCATATGTAGTACCCCTGCGTGCAACAACGGTGGGGTTGGTAAAGTGTGCAAAACATGTTTCACGTGTACACAGGATACATGTTGCGATTCTTGCCTCACAGCGGTCTGGGGAGATGCACTGCAGCTTCTGGTCGTATGTGATATTGTAAGCCCAATTTGTAAGCTAACTTGATCATGCTTGTACTGGTGTGTCTCGTTTCGTCGAGGATATAATTATGTATTTAGTTATTTATAGTTCGTCGGCTGACCAGTTGTCAGCCCAATGCAAGCTAGGGTTTTGTTGAGATAACGGGTCTAACGGTTCAGGCATATGGGCAGCAACATTTAAACTGTCACATAAGGAGGCTGCTGTACTAGGATCAGTATCAGCATCGTGAATATGTAAATCATACCGTAGATTATTGTCAGGGCCTTGCAGGTTGGTTTGGTGGTGGTAAAGCGTCGGTGATAGTGTTAATGAGGTCCCTAGAATGGAACGCACGTGGATAAATGGAACAACGCAAAGGGGGCTAAGGTTGGTTCGTCAATGCAATTTGACGACGAAGTCGGATCGGCTGGCTAGCAGAACAACTTCCTCGTGGTGCCACCTGGGTGTTTCTGGGTTAACCCATTCCAGTAAAAAGCTCGGTCGCAGCGTTCCAGGACGTGATGGGTTCTTTCCTAACAAGCTTTCTTCCTATACGAAACCACGAATATCTGCTTAGTAACACTGCGGCTTGGCGGATGTGGCTCACTACCGACTAACGTCACTGCCCATTATATAACCGGAAAATGCCACGCAATCCACGGACATCGATTGCTTACTCGCACATTCCTGACGATTACCAACGGCCGAAAATGTTGCGGCACATTCACAAACACAAGCTACACAGGGACATTCATACGCAAGTACATACACAAATACACCCATACGCACATTTACTGTCATGCCAAAGATGTATTGTTGCACATGTTTGATCCCAATAGGTTAGCCTCACATGCCCCCACCTGTAAAAGTGTGCCCTGTATTGTCGAGGAAAAAAGGTTGTTTATTGTTTGATATAGGTGTCAATTGCAGCTTAAAGTGGGCAACTTGCACTCGTGGGTATGGCAATCAGCACACTGCCTACTCCGCAATGGCGAGCGTTGGCACCGCCATGCCTTTGTCACAATGTTAAGCGTTGGGTTCCTCAGCAGCGTGGAGAGAATGATAACACGCCGGCTTAACACACAGGCACCAAATTGGCTATCCATTTGCACCTCACTTCCTCATTTACTCGCGCACCTGATCGA